CATGTTCTCTTTTGCTGTCTAATGCCCGTTTCTACCAATGTAGATTAACTTTAATCTCGGTTCAATTTACTTTTCGTATATTTTTCTAATCTTTAATTAGAAAAAGATAATCTACATTGGTGGAAATGGGCATAAGTATATTCACAATCTTCATTGTCTTTGCAGAGATGTGATGATGGTATGTTATACATGTCTCAATATCGCGTTATACGCATCATAATGTTTGATTTATTCATTCGATCTAAAGCCTCGCAAATCGCAGACGAGTTACATAAAAGATGATAGTGACTGAATGCTTTCTAGCAATAAGAGACAAATGAGATAGAAAAGGTGAAATAACTGACAATATAATATAGTGAGTTATTTCATGTCTAACATTACAAAGGTGTTGTGATTCACTTTATTATACTGGGTGCTTTTCAGCAAGAGATACAGATGACACAATGCAACACAATAAATTACTCCTTAATTATTATCCTTAATTATTTGCAATGTTAAACAGAGATAAAAATGCTTGACTGTGTCATTTGTGTCTTGCTGGAAAATATCCAAAGTCTTTAAAACCTGATCTACAATGTATTCTTTGCTTCCTGTTTCGAGTTTGTTTATCTTTCGCCTTTTTCTCTCGTTCCTACCGTTTTATCAATAATTATGTTTATTATCACATATTTCTTGTCTTCATCACTTTTATCTTGGACAACAGAAAATGAAGAAACAGGATAAGAAGTAAAAAGACAAGAAATAAAACAAGAAACAGGAAACAAAGATCACATTGTAGATTAGTAATTCATTGTATTATATTGAATCATCTGTGTCTCTTGTTGAGAAATATTCATTATTAGATGTAAAAAAAAATTTATTTAGTTGTAATCATTGACCAATAGGTTCCATTGTTTATTTATTCCGTTTAATTAGTTTGCAATATCAAAACATGCTGAATGAAATAATTAAGCAAGATCTTTTCTGTTTTGCTTTTAGGACATTTAATATTTTTAATGAAATTATAAGAATTGTACCAGAGAAAAAAAACAAGAGAGGGAAGAGAATCTTTATAACATTATATAACAATTAAAGCAACATGTACAGTGAGAGCAAAAAGTATTCGTACAAGGAAATTTTTTTATAAAAAAAGTCTTATTTGTAGAAAATAAACATTAATTAGCAATTTTATACAATAAATACATTCTGTTTTAACATATACAAATGAGCTTTGCATGTATTTCTAATATTATAAATTTCTCGAATACTTTTTGAGCATCCAAACAATATAGCTTTTAATTTTCACTTATTTTTAAGATATATTTTTTATATAATTAATACACATTTTTTTGGTATATATAATTTTAAGAAACATACAGTCTATTTTATACTTTATGAATAAATTCTTAATTACCCAACAAGAATTGATCATCAATTAAACATCGAATTGATGTCGAATTGATATCGATTCGACATCAATTCGATAACTCATTTCTCGTTGGATAATATTTAATTTTTAAAAACAAAGTTTTTTTTTAAAATATTTTCTCTGTACGAATATTTTTTGTACTCACTGTATTTGACGAATTGCGTCGCAGGTGGACTGGAATATATTCTTGTGTGTGCTACTTTTGCATATCGACTTGCGAGTTTGTTTACGGAAAGAAGTTTGTCGAGAACTCGTAAAAAATTTACAGGAGACCAAGATTCAGACATGCGTATGCAAAAGTTTGTGCAAGTTCAAAGTAAAAGGAAGGATCAAAAGGGTAAATTAAATGTAACTCCATTAATTTAATTTTTTTTAATTAAAAGATTTAGACTTAAATTTTCTCTAATTGGAAGAATTAACTCGATGTAATCGATGTAAAGAAGTATTCAAAATGATATTCAGATACTTGCATGGTCGTATCGTATCAAGACTTTTTTGAAGGGTTATTAATTCTGTCGCATAAATAATTTGTTGTGTTAATCAATTGCTTTTTTGAAACATAAAATGTCTTATTCTTGATTTTGAATGGGAAACATGTTAGGTTTTGTAAGTTATAATTAATTTTTTTCCTGAAGAAAATAGAGACAAAATATGGTTATTTAAAACAAAATGTATACTTGAGAATTGCTTCATGGCTGCATTTTTAGCAGAAAAAATAATTTTGCAACTGTTGTAAGATTCTTTAATATAATTAGTTTATACTTTTAATCGTAAAGAGAGAATTAAAGGCAAAAATCAATTATTTTAAAGAATCTTACAACAATTGCAAAGCTATTTTTTCTGCTAAACATAATTCATTAATATCTCAACGCATATTCTATTTTTCGACTTAAAAACCTTGCGAAATTTTTCTTATATACATCAAACAATACGTCAAAATTCTAACTAATGCAAGTTCTAGAAATTATTTATATGTATAGTTGTAACAGGAAGAAAAGAACATTTTATGTGTAACAACAAAAAAATTGTTTAGAGTCAAAAATAAAGTTATATTTTTTATAATTAAAAATAGAAAAATGAATAAAAAGTTTTGGGTGGAAGTTGGAATCATCTTCTCTCCGCTGGATACACCTATTGGATACTTGTTACGGATCTTTTATTTGCGCAATTTTATAATCGCAGCTTCCAAATCCCTCGATTACAACTTTCAGGCGATATCGACGTTTGGTGCTTTGACGTAAATAAGTATAAGAATCTTATAAATTAATTAACCGTTTGCTATTTTTGCGAAATCCAATGGGGAATTGATCCACTTTAGCTCGCCGGCTTACCTTCATACAGAATCGATATATGGCTATTTGAATAGAAAGCGAATGGTCACATGCTTTTAAGTATTTCCTACGAGAGGATAAATATTTTGAGAAAAATATTGGACTCTCTTCAAAGAATTTTTGAAATAAGTATACATATTAAGAAGCTGAGATTTATTAAAAAGTGGAAATAGAGAAACTTTTGTTAAATTATTATTTGCATTTGATACAATAGGTCTGTTCTTTTTAGAGCTGAACTTCTTACACGATTTATTTTTTCTCTTTATTTTCTGAACGATATAAATTTAGCTTAAAAGAATGAGAGCCTATAAACATTTTAGTTGCGCTTGATAACTTAATGACTTTATTAGCCGAATACGTTAGTGTTTTTTTTTTTATAATTACGTAATTCATTAACGTAGAACATTAACGGACAAATTATTTTTAAATTAAAACAGCTAGCAATTAAAGTGGCCTGATTTGTCAGCTACGTCTTACGAAATGACATCTCACGAACGGATTCAATAATAGAATTGTATTATTGGAAGGATATGTTCATAAGTTGAAATTTAAGTGAAGCAGCTGGTAAGAGACGGGCTGTCAATTCTGTTTCGTGATACACAGTAATATTTACCGTTTCTTAAGAGCTTTGGGGCTTTTGAGGCCTTTGAAATAGTTTTTCAAAGATTGAAAAACTTCCTTTATTTTTTTAAACTTTCAATTTTTATTTAGAACTTAGAGGTCTTCAACGATCGATTATGTACTGTAGACACTGTAGTTTCATTTATTTTTTATTTTTTTACTTTTTTTTCTAAATTCGAATTGATAAGAAATACAAATTTAAATAAAATTTTGTTAATTTTTAAGCTAGATAGTCTTAATTCTTCCAATTATAAAAAAAGCTGGAAAATTTAAATTCTTTTTAATCGAACTGGTAGAATTTATTCTATTTGTAACAAGCATTAGAAAGTTTATTTTAATATTTTTTATTTAATATCGAACACTCAGCTGTTAATTATTCAGAAAAAATTTAACAATCTTTATTTCCCTTGGATATAAATCTTTCCAAGATTTTCAAGAATTTTCGACTTTTCAGTGACAGTTAATTCGAAGTAGCGATTTGAAACTTTTTGTCTAAGGTTTTCGCTGAGCCGTTTCTACCACCGGCTGTCGAAGATCGTCGCACTTGCGCGTTAAAAGCGACGTGTGGCACGTTTTCCTATGGACCCCCCGCGATGGTTCAGTGTGGCACCATCGGCGCAGTGTAACGTCATCCGTAGCCATCCGTCCAGCATCGCGAAGGACGGACAGCAGCCGCAGCAGCCAGAGCGACGTATCCCGTGTGCAG